TACATACAAATCTAGTAAAATTACCTACATACTTACATACAAATCTAGTAAAATTACCTACATACTTACATATAAATCTAGTATAATTACCTACATACAAATCTAGTATAATTACCTACATACAAATCTAGTATAATTACCTACATACTTACATACAAATCTAGTATAATTACCTACATACTTACATACAAATCTAGTATAATTACCTACATACTTACATACAAATCTAGTATAATTACCTACATACTTACATACAAATCTAGTATAATTACCTACATACTTACATACAAATCTAGTATAATTACCTACATACTTACATACAAATCTAGTATAATTACCTACATACTTACATACAAATCTAGTATAATTACCTACATACTTACATACAAATCTAGTATAATTACCTACATACTTACATACAAATCTAGTATAATTATACATACAAATCTAGTATAATTACCTTACATACAAATCTAGTATAATTACCTACATACTTACATACAAATCTAGTATAATTACCTACATACTTACATACAAATCTAGTATAATTACCTACATACTTACATACAAATCTAGTATAATTACCTACATACTTACATACAAATCTAGTATAATTACCTACATACTTACATACAAATCTAGTATAATTACCTACATACTTACATACAAATCTAGTATAATTACCTACATACAAATCTAGTATAATTACCTACATACAAATCTAGTATAATTACCTACATACTTACATACAAATCTAGTATAATTACCTACATACTTACATACAAATCTAGTATAATTTACATACTTACATACAAATCTAGTATAATTACCTACATACTTACATACAAATCTAGTATAATTACCTACATACTTACATACAAATCTAGTATAATTACCTACATACTTACATACAAATCTAGTATAATTACCTACATACTTACATACAAATCTAGTAAAATTACCTACATACTTACATACAAATCTAGTATAATTACCTACATACAAATCTAGTATAATTACCTACATACTTACATACAAATCTAGTATAATTACCTACATACTTACATGCAAATCTAGTATAATTACCCACATACAAATCTAGTATAATTACCCACATACAAATCTAGTATAATTACCTACATACAAATCTAGTATAATTACCTACATACTTACATACAAATCTAGTATAATTACCTACATACTAGTATAATTACCTACATACAAATCTAGTATAATTTACATACAAATCTAGTATAATTACTACATACTTACATACAAATCTAGTATAATACTACATACAAATCTAGTATAATTACCTACATACAAATCTAGTATAATTACCTACATATAAATCTAGTATAATTACCTACATACTTACATATAAATCTAGTATAATTACCTACATACTTACATACAAATCTAGTATAATTACCTACATACAAATCTAGTATAATTACCTACATACTTACATACAAATCTAGTATAATTACCTACATACTTACATACAAATCTAGTATAATTACCTACATACTTACATACAAATCTAGTATAATTACCTACATACTTACATACAAATCTAGTATAATTACCTACATACTTACATACAAATCTAGTATAATTTACATACTACATACAAATCTAGTATAATTACCTACATACTAGTATAATTACCTTACATACAAATCTAGTATAATACTTACATACAAATCTAGTATAATTACCTACATACAAATCTAGTATAATTACCTACATACTTACATACAAATCTAGTATAATTACCTACATACTTACATACAAATCTAGTATAATTACATACTTACATACAAATCTAGTATAATTACCTACATACAAATCTAGTATAATTACCTACATACTTACATACAAATCTAGTATAATTACCTACATACTTACATATAAATCTAGTATAATTACCTACATACTTACATACAAATCTAGTATAATTACCTACATACTTACATACAAATCTAGTATAATTACCTACATACTTACATACAAATCTAGTATGAATACCTACATACAAATCTAGTATAATTACCTACATACTTATATACAAATCTAGTATAATTACCTACATACAAATCTAGTATAATTACCTACATACAAATCTAGTATAATTTACATACAAATCTAGTATAATTACCTACATACTTACATACAAATCTAGTATAATTACCTACATACTTACATACAAATCTAGTATAATTACCTACATACTTACATACAAATCTAGTATAATTACCTACATACTTACATACAAATCTAGTATAATTACCTACATACTTACATACAAATCTAGTATAATTACCTACATACAAATCTAGTATAATTACCTACATACTTACATACAAATCTAGTATAATTACCTACATACTTATATACAAATATAGTATAATTACCTACATACCTACATACAAATCTAGTATAATTACCTACATACTTACATACAAATCTAGTATAATTACCTACATACTTACATACAAATCTAGTATAATTACCTACATACTTACATACAAATCTAGTATAATTACCTACATACAAATCTAGTATAATTACCTACATACTTACATACAAATCTAGTATAATTACCTACATACTTACATACAAATCTAGTATAATTTACATACTTACATACAAATCTAGTATAATTTACATACTTACATACAAATCTAGTATAATTACCTACATACTTACATACAAATCTAGTATAATTACCTACATACTTACATACAAATCTAGTATAATTTACATACTTACATACAAATCTAGTATAATTACCTAAATACAAATCTAGTATAATTACCTACATACAAATCTAGTATAATTACCTACATACTTACATACAAATCTAGTATAATTACCTACATACTTACATACAAATCTAGTATAATTACCTACATACAAATCTAGTATAATTACCTACATACTTACATACAAATCTAGTATAATTACCTACATACTTACATACAAATCTAGTATAATTACCTACATACAAATCTAGTATAATTACCTACATACTTACATACAAATCTAGTATAATTACCTACATACTTACATACAAATCTAGTATAATTACCTACATACTTACATACAAATCTAGTATAATTACCTACATACTTACATACAAATCTAGTATAATTACCTACATACTTACATACAAATCTAGTATAATTACCCACATACAAATCTAGTATAATTTCCTACATACAAATCTAGTATAATTACCTACATACTTACATACAAATCTAGTATAATTACCTACATACTTACATACAAATCTAGTATAATTACCTACATACTTACATACAAATCTAGTATAATTACCTACATACTTACATACATACTTATATACAAATCTAGTATAATTACCTACATACTTACATACAAATCTAGTATAATTACCTACATACTTACATACAAATCTAGTATAATTACCTACATACAAATCTAGTATAATTACCTACATACTTACATACAAATGTAGTATAATTACCTACATACTTACATACAAATCTAGTATAATTACCTACATACAAATCTAGTATAATTACTACATATACAAATCTTAATTATACAAATCTAGTATAATTACCTACATACTTACATACAAATCTAGTATAATTACCTACATACTTACATACAAATCTAGTATAATTACCTACATACTTACATACAAATCTAGTATAATTACCTACATACTTACATACAAATCTAGTATAATTACCTACATACTTACATACAAATCTAGTATAATTACCTACATACTTACATACAAATCTAGTATAATTACCTACATACTTACATACAAATCTAGTATAATTACCTACATTCTTACATACAAATCTAGTATAATTACCTACATACTTACATACAAATCTATATAATTACCTACATACTTACATACAAATATAGTATAATTACCTACATACTTACATACAAATATAGTATAATTACCTACATACTTACATATAAATCTAGTATAATTACCTACATACTTACATACAAATATAGTATAATTACCTACATACTTACATACAAATCTAGTATAATTACCTACATACTTACATACAAATCTAGTATAATTACCTACATACTTACATATAAATCTAGTATAATTACCTACATACTTACATACAAATCTAGTATAATTACCTACATACTTACATACAAATCTAGTATAATTACCTACATACTTACATACAAATCTAGTATAATTACCTACATACTTATATACAAATCTAGTATAATTACCTACATACAAATCTAGTATAATTACCTACATACTTACATACAAATCTAGTATAATTACCTACATACTTAAATACAAATATAGTATAATTACAATACTTACATAGTATAAATTACCTACATACTTATATACAAATCTACTAAAGGTATCAATTTAATTACAAGGAAGAGATTTGTCAGTAAATCAAATATTCCATGTACACAATAACTATACCTTGAAATCCGTGTGATGAAGACGAAACACATCTGAAAAATAAGATCAGGTACTTTTTTATATCTTTTATATTTTATTTTTTTTAATTGCGTTCACGTTTCAAAGTTTATCCAAAAATAAAACCTGGTTATATTCTTTTTGTACTTTTTTATGAGTCTTGGTGTAAATGTTTCTTTTGTTGATAATATGCACATGTTTTATTGAATCTGAGTTTGGGTTATGTTGATCTGTTGGTATTCATTTGATGGTTTTTTTTTTTTTTTTTTTGGGGGGGGGGGGGGGGGGGGGTTTCCTGTTTATTATTATTGTTATTATTTTTATTTTCATTTGTTTATTTTACGGAACCTGTTAATCTGCTATTAAGATAGATATGGTTACGATAAAAACAATATATACATTTCTGTGTATTTGAATTGCGTCTATAAATTTCAATGTTACAAAGGAACGCTGTTCGTCTAATGCAAATGTGAACAAATATTTAGTGTGATAATAACCCGAAGAGGCAGCAAGCGAATAGCAATTACCTGTACTTTGATCCCTTCGCTATACACAAACTGTTGATGCAAGGACTACTTGAGCATGCGTCGATAATTGTGTCACAAACACTTCCGGTCCATCCCTCAGAACAAGAGCACGTGAATCCGAGATTTCGTTCAATACAGGTGGCATTGTTGTGACAAGGTGACGTCAAACAAGCGGTCATGGTTGATTGAGTTATATTTGTAAGAGAGGTTGTCGTAGTACTGCCACAGTTTTTGCCGCCATAACCAACTGGACATATACAATTATAGCCAGAAGCGTTATCTTCACAGAGACCAAGTCCGCAATCGGCTACAGCGCACGTTGAAATGTTACAATGAGAACCTATAAACATTCACAAACCTGCTTACTTGGTGATCGTCTCCATGGTAATAAATATAAACAATACACTCAAATTTATTAATTATATCTATGCCCTTTGACAAAACGGTAGAGAAGTATGTACACTGAGCCCCTAAAGAAAAGCAAGTCCAACTTAACATACGTTTTTGTGAGAAATCAAAAATAGAAACTGATTTTTTATGAAAATGTGGCTAGATTTCATTTCATAAAATTTACAATTTCTGTTGTCTACTTGATGAGGGTATCCCAATGACAGGAAAATCACAAATCAGCCGGTAAAGCGTGTGTCCACCTTGCGCATTGATATAGTCCTGTGCAACATCGTCTCATGTAATTGCTGAGTGTCTGGAAAAATGCCTCGGGCAAATTGTTCCATTCCTGGAGGAGTCTCTGTTCCAGCTAAGCCAACGTCAACAAAGCTCCACCAGTAGCGATTCTTCTCCCAATTAAATCCCACGCATGTTCTATCGGTGCCATATCCGCTGAAAGAGACGGCCAAGGGAGGACATTCACACGATTCTGTTAAAGGAAACACGTAGGTACGTGCGTAGTGTGGAAACTGGCGTTGTCCTGCTGGTAAAACTGTAGTTGTGGCTGTGCAGCAAACAAGGGAATGACGTAAGGCCTGATAATGTACATCACTTCTGTTACACGTTGATGGTAGACGTGAAGAGGTATCCGCTGGTGGTACCTGGAGGCTCTCCATTCGTTACGTCGACGCCGCACGTGCAATCGGCCATCAGCATGGGAAAAAAAGGAATCGAGACTCGTCTGGAAAGAAAACTCTCGCCAGTCAACAAGACGCCTTCGTTGATGATGCCTTGCCCATTGAAGACGTTGCTGTCGATGGGACTGAGTGAGAATAGGCCCTACGTAAGGACGTTGGAAGTTAATGTCATGTTCACGTGGGCGACGCTGGACGGTCCCGAGGAACACTGTGCTTCTTCTACCTATGATGGCTGTTTTGGTTGTTGACTGGGTCCGGTTACGAAGGTGAGTTACCTGGATGAAGCGATCTTGGGTCTGAGTTGCCACTCTTAGTCTGCCAGTCCTGGGACGATCAGAAAGAGAACCTGTATGCTGTAAGCGTCCAGCAAGCCTGATGATAGTGCTAGCATGACGCCATTTCATCATTTGCACTCACAACTTTATATTATCAGTATTAGCATACAAAAGGTCATATCTAAAAATTTCACATGAAAATGTACTGGTACTTGCGTTTTTTATGGGCTTCAGTATATCAACGATGTTTAAAAATTAAAATTCAGCTCAAACAATCTCCAGAGGGGACTAATGAAAAAGCAAAATAATTTCATTTGTATAGAAATTACTGAGAACCGATGCTTATGTCAACGAAATAGTTGTGTACAGTTTGAAATGAGTTAGATATGTACGGTAAGGACGGTTCTGCTTTCGGATGGATAAAGAAAATGCATTTTAATGCATACCGTTAAACTATAGCGCGAAAAATAAAAGTATCCTACTCGAAATATGCATACCAATATAGCCATCAGCACAAATACATGTGTATCCATTGTCACTCCGGTTGCACGTGCCATAGTGACATGGTGATGGTAAACACGCGTCAAAGGTATTGTTGCATTGTCGATGGTATTTGTTATCTGGGCACCAGCAAATATAGGCTTCCGGAACATTGGCATACGGATAACATGTACCAGGATAACAGTCCTCTTTGTGGTGTTCACAAACCGCCATAGTTGTGTCACAAAATTGACCTTTGAACCCGGCGTGACACTGACATGAGTAACCGATTTCGTTTCTGACGCAACTTCCGTTGTTACAGTTGACTGAAGCACAGACATCAATTCTAGTCTCACAAAGATTTCCGGTGAAACCACTGTCGCATGTACAGGTTACATCAGAGTTTGCTGTCGAGATGCATCGGCCATGTTTACAAGGAGAGGGAGTGCAAAGGTCAACGGATGGTCGATCACAATTCCTACCGGTGTATCCAGCTGAACATTTACATATGTAGTTGTCAGGCGTCTCCCCGCACGTGCCGTGCTGACAAGGACTGGACATACAGGGTGTGAATTTCATGTCGCAATGTCGTCCTACATAACCATTCAAGCAATTACACGTGTAGTTATATCGACTAGTGACGACACATATACCTTGATGACATGGATTATCTGCGCATTCGCCGATAAATTTTTCGCATCGTTCCCCGGTGAATTCGTGTGTACAGTTGCATGTGTAACTGTTGATCTGGTCAATGCATTGTCCTTGGAACAGACACGGCGAGGAGGCACAATCGTCAACATTGACCTCACAGAACTGACCAATAAATCCAGTAGGACACTCACACACGTAACTCGTGTTCTTGGCTATACAGGTGGCGCTGTTTTTACATTGACTGCTTTCACAGGGATCAACCGTCACTGCGTGTAGAGAATATGAGAATTACCATTGATATACTGCTAAATTAAGATTCTCTGGCAATCGGAGAAATTTATTTTTGATTTTTCGTTTTCTATGAATTTTCTTAATAAATTGACATGTTTGTGGTGTTCATTTGTTTATTACTTGAATTCAAACCAATCACTAGAAGACAAGGCTGCTTGGAACGTGCTCATCATAGCCTCGTTGTATGAATTTTTCAAAACTTATTCTTTCTTTCTGCTTACGTATTCATTGAACAAATATGACAAATGCATTTTTCTGAAAGTAGTTTCAAATGAATAAATTCAAATTTGGTATGTATATGCATATCGATTTGCGAGACATTTTGTGAATTTCAAATATTTACCAAATTGGTATATTGACTCAAAGGCTAGTGGAACTTCATTAGCTTTGTATGTGACGTAGATTGACCCGGAAGTAGAAGTCACGTAGGGTGGATGTGATCTATTAGTTGTTGATTGACAGTAATGTCCGAGTATTGACCCACTTGCTGAATTTCCGTCATGTATTGTCAAACCGACACCGTTTTGTTTATTGCAAACTTCTTGTCCAAAGAAAACAGTAGGAAACAAAATCTGGACCTGTTTTCCGGATGGTGCTCTTATTTTTATGTGACACTGGGCATGCCGGATGGACTGGTACGGAAAATGGAGAGAAGCGATAGCGCGAGGTCCGTAATTTTCCGGAATAGTCACATTGCACGGCCAACCTACAGGGAAAAAATGAGTCCTTCAACACATCCTAAAATAGACGAGGTCAGCGGTCAAATTATGAAAACACTTAATCAAGGAGGATTGTAAATACATTTGTTACTACAATAATTCTCAGCCAGAATTATACATTTCCAAACATCTATATTTGTTTGTTTATTTATTCAATGGTTAATCAATTAATATTTTTTTTCTGTTGTTTTGGTCATTGGTGAGAGCTGTTCTCCTAGAGGTTACTAGGTTACTAGCTAGAGGTTACTAGCTAGAGATTACTAGGTTACTAGCTAGAGGTTACTAGGTTACTGGCTAGAGATTTCTAGGTTACTAGCTAGAGGTTACTAGGTTACTAGCTAGAGATTACTAGTTTACTATCTAGAGATTACTAGGTTTCTAGCTAAAGGTTACTAGGTTACTAGCTAAATGTTACTAGGTTACTAGCTAGAGGTTACTAGGTTACTAGCTAGAGGGTACTAGGTTACTAGGTAGAGATTACTAGGTTACTGGCTAGAGGTAACAAAGTTACTATCTAGAGATCACAAAGTTTCTAGCTAAAGGTTACCAGGTTATTAGCTAAAGGTTACTAGCTAAAGGTTACTAGGTTACCAGCTAGAGATTACTAGGTTACTAGCTAGAGGTTACTAGGTTATAAGCTAGAGATAACTAGGTTACTTGCTAGAGGGTACTAGGTTACTAGGTAGAGATTACTAGGTTACTGGCTAGAGGTAACTAGGTTACTGGCTAGAGGTAACTAGGTTACTAGCTAGATATTACTAGGTTTCTAGCTAAAGGTTACTAGGTTACTAGCTAAATGTTACTAGGTTACTATCTAGAGGTTATTAGGTTACTAGCTAGAGGTTACTAGGTTACTAGCTAGAGGTTACTAGGTTACTAGGTAGAGATTACTAGGTTACTGGCTAGAGGTAACAAGGTTACTAGCTAGAGATTACTAGGTTTCTAGCTAAAGGTTACTAGGTTATTAGCTAAAGGTTATTAGGTTACTAGCTAGAGATTACTAGGTTACTAGCTAGAGATTACTAGGTTTCTAGCTAGAGGTTATCAGGTTCCTAGCTAGAGGTAGCCAGCTGATTCTGCAATACGAAAGTAAGAAACAAGAGACTCATTTCATTTTTAAAGAATTGGTTAATTATCTTGCACAGTTAGAAAACCACTACAACACTGATTGGTCCGTTTCTCGGACCTTCTGAAGAGCACTTACAGTCAAGGGAAGTAAGTGTCGGATCACAGACGTCGGAATTATCACCAAAGGTTACGTAATCCGACACTTTGCCGACTGTTTCGCGGGACAGAACGAAGGACATTGTGTAAAACTGATCTAATAATTACGTCAAATGACATCTTTGATATCGGGTGTGTCTAATTATAGAACGTTTATCGTACTTGTATAATATTGATAGTGGTTGTAAATACGACTCTGGATAAGTCTAATCGCCTCGTGACCCTCGCCATAGAACACGTTACTGAGGCCGCACGCGCCTGTGCTGGGACTGTGGGAAAATGACATACAGGTATGAACCGCAGTACTCAGGCACTCGTATGCACATTCTTCAAGCGTTTTGTTGAGACTGATTTTAAAGTAAGTGTTCTGCTGCTTAAGCGCAGCGTGATCGTGACTTTGGAATAAGTTCGTGTATGACGCTGCAAATGAATTGAAATAAGAAAAATAAATAAAAACATACGTACGTTTATTATTAGTAACAAAGTCAGTTACAATATCGATTCCATAAAATGTTATTTTTCTTCAAATTAATAAACAAATACAGGAATCGACAATAAATAAACAAATCAAATAAAGACAAACAAAATGATAAACATATTTTCAAAATTGATTGAATCAATTATATTTTCTCGTGATAAAACTAGTTTTTCTGACACCTTTAAACTTTATGTGCAATTGTCCTCTTTTTATCGGCAGTATAAAATAGAAATTATTTGTTGAATTTATTTTCGCGTTTATAATGATGAATATTCCACTTGCGAACTAAATCATATTTGAAATCATATACATGTTCGCAAAACATGAACAATAATAGCTGGGTTATCATGTTTTCGTTTTTGTTTCCATTTTCCCCCTTTTCTGTCAAACTTTATTCTATAGAAACGTAACACTTACTTTTGGTTCTCTCGTAATAATCGACTGCTTTGTTGTCTTTCAACCCAAGAAATCCGCCATTGATGACAAGTGACGTAACATTTGTGTGCACGCACATTCTACTTCCGGGCGTGTATTCAAATGCATAACAAGGAAATGTTTTCATCCGAAACGCCAAGGTGCACTTTGCCGCGCAAAGTTGGAGACTGACGTCACGGATTATTGTAATAGAATTCCTTGGAATAGGGGCCACGTACTTTCCCGGAACTTGCACATACTCGCTCAGTGGGACAGCCGCTGAAAGATGAATAAGTAAAACATCGTTTTTTTTTCTATTTCTTTTTTTTTTCTGAAGGCAGTGAATAAAATATTACTTCCAAAAAACTTCAAATTAATGTTTACGTTTCTATATTTATAAAAAATATCTACTTGCACTAGCAATTTTTTATGGAATTTTTTGTGAACTTTCCATCACCATTTTGAAAATTTTCCGTATTTTTTTCATAGGTCATTAAAAATGATACGTGTTTGGGTTTTATATCGGTAACACTCTCGCGATACAACTACATGCACGTGTAGGTGTCCGGGGAGCGATTTCCCGGAAAAACGTGAAAATTTATGGGACCGCCTCGCCATACACTAGGGTTGATTATCAGTACTCCGTGCCAACAAGAGAGATCAATGTAAGCTAAAATCGATTGATTGATTATTGATTAACAATATTTTGATACGGTTGTGATCCAACAAAAATTCGAAGCCATGGATCAGTTTTTACTATTCTTATATAAAACAAAGCTAAATTGACACATGAATTCACGAATTTTGTCTTTTTCTTATCTGTTGATGTAACAATGTGTGGTAGATTTTGTTCCAGGCATAATCCATATAAACAACAAAATTTAATTGATGTTGATATTTACAAATCGCAATCAGCAAATTAACATTAGTGTTTAATCTATAAATGTCAACGTTTCATTCAGTTTTCCTCATTAAATATATTGTCTCTTTTATCAAGTCTTTATGCTACATTTGAAAATTTATACAATGTGTATTTCAAACGAAAATTTTAGTTTCCCTTCGTATTTCTAAAATAACTTTATACTCACTGTATGCTGTGACGTGGCCGATTATCAAAGTAAATAAAAAGATCATGACGATGTTACAACTGTCAGAGCTAAACATCTGAGTTACGTAGCGACAATTAACATATCAAGAATCTAGGTAATATTGTTTTGTCAAAGACCTTCGATTTCTGTTATATATTAGCCTCTTTCTCTGCTTTACCACGCCCACTATTTTTAAAATCACGCCCCCCCCCCCATGTCATAAACACGCCTTCTCCCTCTCTTTGTATAGCACAGGATTCGTTCTCTATGATAATTCATGCCTCTCTACAATACCACGTCCCTCATTTTAAGACACGCCTTTTTTGGCATGGGTTACCCTGGCCATTTATATTGAAAGCATTAATTCTCCATAGTTCCATCATGTCTCTCTGCTAGGCCACGCCCCACATTTTAAGACACGCCTTCTTTGTCATGGGTTACCCTGGCCCTTTATATTGAATAACATTAATTCTCCGGCATAGTTCCATCATGTCTCTCTGCTAGGCCACGCCCCACATTTTAAGACACGCCTTCTTGTCATGAATTTTTTTCTCCCTTTATATTGCACCTCATTAATTCTCTATAATTCCAAGTCTCCCTGTATAACCATGCCCTTATCATTAAACCTGATCTGGTCCGCGTACTGCCTCCCTTTTCCATGATTTCACGGTCTATCTCTACGATGCCACACCCCCTTCATTGATCTCCCAACATCATTACCGGCATGGACCCATGTTCAGACGTAGATATGGTCCCTCACGTTATTGATAAATGTGTCACGTATATATCTATTGGGAACAGGTGTTTAGATGCGAGTCCCTCTCCCTAAATACAGGTGTATAGATACTTCTTCACGATATGATAGATGAGAGACATGGTCTTAAATATATTGATAAGTCTGTACATACAATTGTAATTGATGTTTATAATGCAATCGTATAAAACATTGATTATTATCTGAATACATGATTGTCAATTTCCGCAGGAATAAAAAAAAAACAAGAAAATACCGACATGTCAATATAATCATAATCCAAACTCCAATTCAATCAAACAAGGACAAAATAGGAACAAATTAAAGATTTACAAAGAGTATCCGGAAAAAGTACAAGGAGAATAAGACCAGGTGTTCCGGAAGAGTACACCTCTTCTGCTTCATCGGCGATATCCGCCATGTCAATCTTGTTCAGTTCAGGTATGTAATGTCACGTTCTCGAATGAGAACGAAGTATACGACAACGGAACCAGCTGGTAAAATAACGAGGAGTAGACACGTCCGGCTTCAAATCGCACAAAGAAAAGAATGTTCCTCAATGAAATCACTATGACGACGGTAACACTGTATTCTTATTTGACAATGTCTTTGTGACATATTTTGATGAACTTTTCTGTATGTTCACATTCGTATGAAATTTAATACACGTCTGTTCAAAGAGGAGCACAGTCGTTTCCTATAGCTGCGTCAATAGTGCATTTGAAAACCACTATTATCGATGTCTTTTCAACAAAATCTTTGATCAGTTTTTACTTCTATAACATCCACGACAAATACTCCAGTGTATTTCATAATCACACATGTATATTTACCATTATTTAAACGGTAACGCCAGTGATTAGACCAGCTCTTAATAAAGACGGATTCCAACATAAACAATGGAGGTTCGTACGCTTAGCATTGATAGGCAATCTGAATTACTGAATCGTGTTTATCTAGATTATGCTATCTCTTTCAATCACATGTTGAACAGTATAAGGGATATGTATTATGTTCATTTTCTCTCGGAAGCATGCTGAGTATTGTTGTCTCACAAACTACAATGTCGTTAATAGATATTTGTAATATCTTAACTCTGACACAGATCACAAGTATAAGATACAAAGTAGCAATCAATCTTAATTCTAAAGCAATTCCAGGTATAATGTGTAAGACAGTATATATCCTTAACTCTTACACATATCACAGGTATAATGTGTAAGGTAGCATATAACCTTAACTCTTACACAGATCACAGGTATAATGTGTAAGGTAGCATATATCCTTTAATCTTACACAGATCACATATATAACCTTAACTCTTACACAGATCACAGGTATAATGTGTGTGCATATAATAATCTTACACAGATCACAGGTATAATGTGTAAGGTAGCATATAACCTTTAATCTTACACAGATCACAGGTATCATGTGTAATTTTCGACGATTATATTAATTCAAACAACTTGTTTGTCTATTGTGATTTGTCTTTTTTTAATAAATGAAATTACATTTTTGCTGTTTATTTTCTTAATTTCAGAAACAGAATGAAACTATTCTTTTGTCAAAACGATTTTGACTTTTCCCCCTCACAAGCTATTAAGAAGATGATTTGTGTTTGTACGCTCATTACAGACCAGATTTTATGGCCAAACCGTGGAACTTTCTAACAATTTAACACGTTTTATAAAATATTTGTCCCGATAAAATGACTTCACTATGTACAGCGAAATCCTTCAAAATGTAACGTCTTAATCTTCTCACGTATGCAATGCTAGTTCATTTGCGCCAAGCTGTCGATACTTTGAAAACCCTCCATCAGACACTTGAAATAAATGTGTGTGTACCTTGTACCCTGTGACGACAATTCTTCTTCAATTTACGAGAGGTCAGTATCTTAGCCGATATGAAGGTAGATTACATTTCTACATGCCGTTGTTGTTAGAGTGTGGACTTTCAGTACACAATTTTGCGAGAGGTGCCGGCAAGGGTGATATCAAAATGTCACTTTAAGATCACTTTTAATCAATTATTAACTGTAAGAATTAAGCAAAGGTTTGGAAAAAATAAAACATAGAGGCGTAACGAATTGGCAGTGTTGGGATTAATATGATGGAATTCAAAACTTTTTAAATTTTCTCATAACTTGTAATGGAGTCATACATCAGTCTTTAACATTTGTTATGACTAAGGTAAACAATAATTATCTACAACAAGAGTAAATTTTTTAATATTTTCTTGTGTGTGTGTTTTTTTTTTTTTTTTTGACAATGATATACGATATATATTATATTATGAGTATATCATAATGATATATAGAATGTGATATTAATCTATAATATTAATTCATATAAGAATTTCTAAATATCAATATTATTTCGTTGGATGGTATTTTGTAAAATCATTGATATGCGTGCGTGATTTAGTTCGTTTAGTCATGAGTACTTTCATTCCACTAAATGATAAACAGATAAACCGCAAAATTTTAGCCCCGCAAAAATTATAATATTATCAGTAGGTACTAGTGAAGAGTGCATAAAATAAATGTTGGTGAATATTACATTGTCATTTTAGTATAAGATATAGTGATAAATTGAGATTAGCGATTGTGTCAGGAAGAAATTGTTATCTTAAACCGAATATATTTCATTTATGTAAAGACGTGCATATTTTAGATACGGTCAAATATCAAGGGATATCAATAAATCCTCTTAAGTCAGGAATTAACGTAGAAATAAGGACAGTGTTATCACGGTGTACACAACATCGAACATAAACCACGTCATAGTCACCTCCTTATCAAAGTTCTCGCATCGATTTTAAACCTGAAGATTAACCGGAAGTCCGATGACGTCATAAATTATTGTAGCGTTTAAAATATTTAATGGGCGAGGAAAGTTTTCGTTTTATGAATGGATTTTGATGTTTGGTTCTCACCTTAGAGTCACTTGTGGCATTTCCTCATATCTTGACGATCTGTCAATGTTTCGATGGCACACCTATCGCCGACCTTTGACCTTACTATAATGTAAACAATCTCGAGAGCTTCCGACGCAGGTTCGTAATTCGTGTATTAATATCGCTGCAACATCGATGTGTGCTTTATTTGAAGCTATCTGTGATACAGGAGTGTTACCTGAGATTTTCGTGACTCATCTACCCGTTTATGGTCAATTTTAAGGTTAAATCTGCACACCTTGAACAGGAAACATTCTGCCGATAAAACTACCCTACTAGCATATAAGACAGATTTATACCCAATTACGGTTGACATGGAATAAAAAGTGTTGGCGTCGAATTTCAACGAACATTTCACCTGGTCATTTGAGAAACTGTCAACATTGTGAAACTGACTAATGAAGATGGCTGTAAGATACGCTTGTCTAGTGTTAGTGTTCTGTTTGGCGGGGTATGGGTCTTCAGCGCCGGCTGTTGATACAGGTAAGTGTACCTTTGAATGGTAAAACGACGAGGTATAATAACGAGTACATATGCGTGTGTTTGCTGCCGATCGGATCTTATTTTCTCCTGTGGGGTAATATGAGGGTGGTGATATTTATCTTTGGGTGTGTTTCTATATCAAGACATATTTATACCAATAGCTATGTGAAAAGGGTTGCTTTATCTAATATAATGTAAACCAACTTAGAGGCATCATTTTATATCTATACAATTTAATTAATAAGAGGTTTTGGCTGGTGGTTATGATAAAAATAACATTATTAATTTTCTTTTCCAAAACAACACTCAGGTCATCCATGAATATTTCTGCTTGACTGAAATAGATCGCCAGGAGCTTTACTCTCGAAGGAAATCATATTTACTCGGATTATATCCATGAATATAGCCCCTGTTATTAAACTCCATACGAAGCAACGCTGCGGTTCGAGTTTCATTACAAACCGAAGTTTGGTTTAATTTCAGTTTTAGCAGTCACATGGGTTTTCGATCTGTACTTCCGGTCTTCGGAATCAGTAATTTGAAGCGAAGCTGTTTCAAGTGTAGATAACTCTGTCTATGTTTTAAAATGCTGTAATGATGTGAGTGACGTAAAGGAATATCAACATCTCATAATTCATTATTTTAAAAATAGCTTGAAAATTTGCTCAGATATTTTTTTGCAGTGTTACAGTTAAGTTTATCCGCTCGAAGGATCACCAGGTGTAGAATCCGCCAAACTCCACGTGACATGCTTTTAATCCCTAAGAACTCTTAAGATTGTTTTAAAACAAACCAAAAACCGTGTTTGAAATGTAATGTTACAATTACATATATACATATTGTCTAACTGATTGACCACACGCTCGTCAAAAACTGAAAGGAGGTAGGACAACAATTTCCGGAGATAGAAAACTAATTATGAAACCAACCACGAGCACGGCTATTTCAAAGGACAGTTGGAAAATATTTCGCGACACTGAATGACATTTTAATTATTTTGTTTATTAGTTTTAAAAGCAATCTATCAAATCTTGAGTGATATTTTTTCCTTCATTTCAGATATAAGTACATCTTCATCAAACAAGGTAAGATGATAAAGATAGTCAACATTTCATCCTGTGTATGTCATATACATGTCACCAATTCAATAAAAAGCCATTTTATTGTTAGTACACTATTGGATTGGTTTCGTTAACATATATAAATAATCCCCATGAAAAATCATCATCCTTTCTATTATCACAAGATAATACAAGATAATATTTTTACGCATCATCATATGTGTTTTATATCCTAATTCACAGCAAATTTGAAACAAGTTTTAACAACTTCTGTTAATCCCTCTTGATGGCCCAAATGGAAGCGCGCGAGGGGTCTTACTGTAGGAGGAAACCGGAATACCCGGGGAAAACTCACGAGGTCGGGCAGGTCACCCCATACCTTTCACATATTCGTGACGGGAATCGAACCCCGGACGGCTAAGTGAAAGGCGCTACCCGACCACTCGGTTCAATTCCTTATACAAATACACTGTTTAATTCACTAAAGTCGTTTTCGTATTTGTTAAAATGACAATATAATGTTTTCTTCTTTATATTTCACAGATACAGAGCCTCGAATCGAAGGTAAGAATAAGTTTCACGCATGATTGAACCATTACAACTACTGGTTATTAAATTATGTGTTGAATACAGTCTCAGTCGGCACGGTGGAAACGGAAATTCTAAGAATGCAAGGAAACAAAAGGAGAACGCCACTTTAGCACGGGATGTGATGAACATTTGAACAGCTGATGAAATTGAATAGCGTACAGTGTATCACTGTGCTGACTGTACTGTATGCAATTAGTCACATACATGTATATAGATCTAGTGGATGTTAGTGTGTGTATGTGTGTATGCAAATCATTTCAACTATTTTATTATTCAAAGAGATTAAGCTCTCTCTCTCTCTCTCTCTCTCTCTCTCTCTCTCTCTCTCTCTCTCTCTCTCTCTCTCTCTCTCTCTCAATATAAATTATCATGTTATCTTCTAATTTTATCTGCCATCTTATGATGTCGTGTACATATGTATGTGTTTAATAATTAGGAGCGGGCGATTATAAGTTCTTGGAACTTGTGGCCAGTCCTCTTGCAATATTTTGGCAATAAAATATGTTTTAACTAAAACTAAATTACAACTACTGACATATCACAATAAAACCCGAAAATAGAACATTTTCGCGTATATTTTTGTGGTCCTCTAACACAATTTGTGTTTCTTACAAACTAACCAAAATCCCAACAGTTCATGGTCTATTTTTTAATTTATTTACAGTTTTTTATCACACAAAGGGGGATGTTTACTTTATATATTATTGTTATCTATGACATTATGGGGATATTTATCTCATGTAGGTGACTCATTTCAAATGAATTTACCCTTTTCATACTTTTGCATATGTCACTACTGTAATAAACCCTAGATCGTTTTTCATTGGCTGTGGCAATTATCATTAACACTTTTACACCAAAAAACTTCTAAGTTTCAAGTCTCGTTTCATTCAATCTCGTATGATCTGACGAATCTATATCGAACAAAAAGTTAGACTGTAAGCCAGACGATCCGAAATTCTCTCAAGCTTCACCATCAGAAAAATACTTAAATCTATCACATGATTTTTTTCTTTTTGAGTTAAAAATTCACAGAAGATTCATAAATTTTCATTTTGTTTTCTTAAAAACTGTTTCCTTTGTGTGATTCTGTTTTTGAATTCCGATTTATTCTATTTCAGCTGTCTAAACTTCGCTCGTTAGTAAGTATATTTGTCTTATATAGAAAACTGCATAGAATAAATCAAATCTTCATAACGCTTGTATGAAGTTAAGTTACATATCATTTATAACAAACGTTTAAAAGCTTACATTATTTTCAAATCAACCAACCGACGAGAAAAAAATGTTAGCTTTATATTAATGTTTTTTTATTAATACAACTAAACTGTCCTTTGTTCATCTATTTTGAAGAATATTTGAGATTAGACCGGTTTTAAAAATAACTTGGTATTGTGCACATTATTCCTCGTTGGATCAACTATATATATAGACCATCGATATGTTATAAAATGAGCTATATGTTAACGAATTTCAGTGCATCAAATAAATATCGTTGATATGCAAGATACAGGACGTTCAATAGGTGTCAGGTATAGAGGTAGCATTGACAATATGTTAAAATATTATCGGTATTTTGGCAAGGGCAAAAAAGACAAATAATGTAACGTTAACTTAAACTTAAGATTATTGAAACTTTTAACAGTTCTTTGTTCAATGTTTTGTCGGATATTGATGTACCCCAAAATATTTCCTCTAAGCGTGTGAAAAAAAACGGTTCCAAAATTCAATGAATATGAAAAAAATTAATGAATTTTCATAAATAAACTTGTTTTTCTTTTCGTTACATCAAATAAAATTTTATTTAAACAGTAAATTATATTTCAGTTATAAAATTGAAGTAAATTGGAAAGTAATTGTGACGAACCAATGCAAGATTAAAAAATATCGTTCCTTTTTCTTTCATTTTAAAATAAAGCATAAATTCATCGAGAGTATTTCTATATTAGACGCGTCATTTGCAGGTTAAATTTATATATTTATGTATCCATTCATGCATTCAAATTTTATGACAAACATATGGTTCTTTTTAAAGTTGGCAGATATTGCCAAGAGTCCAGAAAGCAAGAATAAAAAATCTGATGATGAAACAAAGTCCAGCGTGTCCAAAATGGCGACAGAATCAAATATGTCACGTGACAAAGATGAAAAGTCACAAAGGAACCTAAAACTAGCTGGAGATTCTACAATGACTGCAGGGTTGGCTGGTTTACAAGGAGAAACCCTAGAGGTATACTTATAATGAAACAATGTTGTATTTAATTTTTATCGTAAGAGAGGATAATGATATAACATACGTGATGTTACTTCCTATTTCTTTGACGAGTTCTGTCTCATACATATCTTATACAACTTAAGTTGAATATATATGACACGCACTTTATTGACTGTTTTATCAGTAACTTACAATTGCAGCACATTACTTATATTGTTGAAAATAATAGAAATGCATTTAACGCAGTTTTATATAAGCCAGGAAGAATTCTACAGGAAAGTTTTTACGACTTTAAAAAACAATATGTCATTTATTAGTGAAATCAACACATTGCACTAGACGTGTGTTATATGATAACCATGACAATGTCTTACGCACTGAAATATAAAAGTTTATATTCACAAAGTCCTAATAATGAAAATGACTTTACAACAAGCTTAACTGGTAAATATTGCTAAGAATACAATGTTTCTTCGTCCTGTATAACAAGGTAAAATACAATATGGGTACAATAGGGAATGGTATAATTGTACAGATTGTTAGAGATTTGTGTTCAATCGTAGTGACTGACGCTGTTTTCAGGCTTTGCTGTTAGCTCTTCAGACACTGAAAGACCAACAACAGCACCAGAACAAACAACGAACAACGGCAGATCATAGAGGTATGTATACTATCGAGATTAACTTAATAAACAACGTGCCCAGGTAAAGGAAGATTATTAACAACGTGCCCAGGTAAGGGACAATTATAAACAACGTGCCCAGGTAAAGGAAGATTATAAACAACGTGCCCAGGTAGAGGAAGATTATAAACAACGTTCCCAGGTAAAGGAAGATTATAAACAACGTGCCCAGGTAAGGGAAGATTATAAACAACGTGCCCGGGTAGAGGAAGATTATAAACAACGTACCCAGGTAAACTAAGATTATAAACAACGTACCCAGGTAAAGGAAGACTATAAACAACGTGCCCAGGATAGAGGAAGATTATAAACAACGTGCCCAGGTAGAGGAAGATTATAAACAACGTGCCCAGGTAGAGGAAGATTATAAACAACGTGCCCAGGTAGAGGAAGATTATAAACAACGTGCCCAGGTAAGGGACAATTATAAACAACGTACCCAGGTAGAGGAAGATTATAAACAACGTGCCCAGGTAAAGGAAGATTTTAAACAACGTACCCAGGTAAAGAAAGATTATAAACAACGTACCCAGGTAAAGGAAGATTATAAACAACGTGCCCAGGTAAAGGAAGATTTTAAACAACGTACCCAGGTAAAGAAAGATTATAAACAACGTACCCAGGTAAAGGAAGATTATAAACAACGTACCCAGGTAAAGGAAGACTATCAACAACGTGCCCAGGATAGAGGAAGATTATAAACAACGTGCCCAGGTAGAGGAAGATTATAAACAACGTGCCCAGGTAGAGGATGATTATAAACAACGTGCCCAGATAAGGGACACTTATAAACAACGTACCCAGGTAGAGGAAGATTATAAACAACGTGCCCAGGTAAAGGAAGATTATAAACAACGTACCCAGGTAGAGGAAGATTATAAACAACGTGCCCAGGTAAAGGAAGATTTTGAACAACCTACCCAGGTAAAGAAAGATTATAAACAACGTACCCAGGTAAAGGAAGATTATAAACAACGTACCCAGGTAAAGGAAGACTATCAACAACGTGCCCAGGATAGAGGAAGATTATAAACAACGTGCCCAGGTAGAGGAAGATTATAAACAACGTGCCCAGGTAGAGGATGATTATAAACAACGTGCCCAGATAAGGGACACTTATAAACAACGTACCCAGGTAGAGGAAGATTATAAACAACGTGCCCAGGTAAAGGAAGATTTTGAACAACCTACCCAGGTAAAGAAAGATTATAAACAACGTACGCAGGTAAAGGAAGATTATAAACAACGTGCCCAGGTAAGGATTATTAACAACGTGCCCAGGTAGAAGAAGATTATAAACAACGTGCCCAGGTAGAGGAAGATTATAAACAACGTGCCCAGGTAAAGGAAGATTATAAACAACGTGCCCAGGTAGAGGAAGATTATAAACAACGTGTTCAGGTAAAGGAAGATTATAAACAACGTGCCCAGGTAAAGGAAGATTATAAACAACGTGCCCAAGTAGAGGAAGATTATAAACAACGTGCCCAGGTAAAGAAAGATTATAAACAACGTACCCAGGTAAAGGAAGATTATAAACAACGTACCCAGGTAAAGGAAGACTATCAACAACGTGCCCAGGATAGAGGAAGATTATAAACAACGTGCCCAGGTAGAGGAAGATTATAAACAACGTGCCCAGGTAGAGGATGATTATAAACAACGTGCCCAGATAAGGGACACTTATAAACAACGTACCCAGGTAGAGGAAGATTATAAACAACGTGCCCAGGTAAAGGAAGATTTTGAACAACCTACCCAGGTAAAGAAAGATTATAAACAACGTACGCAGGTAAAGGAAGATTATAAACAACGTGCCCAGGTAAGGGAAGATTATTAACAACGTGCCCAGGTAGAGGAAGATTATAAACAACGTGCCCAGGTAGGGGAAGATTATAAACAACGTGCCCAGGTAAAGGAAGATTATAAACAACGTGCCCAGGTAGAGGAAGATTATAAACAACGTGTTCAGGTAAAGGAAGATTATAAACAACGTGCCCAGGTAAAGGAAGATTATAAACAACGTGCCCAAGTAGAGGAAGATTATAAACAACGTGCCCAAGTAGAGGAAGATTATAAACAACGTGTTCAGGTAAAGAAAGATTATAAACAACGTGCCCAGGTAAAGGAAGATTATAAACAACGTGCCCAAGTAGAGGAAGATTATAAACAACGTGCCCAGGTAAAGGAAGATTATAAACAACGTACCCAGGTAAAGAAAGATTATAAACAACGTGTCTAGGTAAAGTGCCCAGGTAGAGGAAGATTATAAACAACGTACCCAGGTAAAGGAAGATTATAAACAACGTGCCCAGGTAAAGGAAGATTAAAACCGACGGAAAATCAATTCATCCAATGAACGGATAAGGAGTTTGAAAGAATAAGTTTAACATTGACAATATCTTATGGTAAAAAAGAGTAACATGGACAGTAAATGCTTAATGATATTAATATGTGTAACGGTCTATTGATGTTGTTAAAAGTAGCTTAACATTGTTTGCATCGATAAAGATCTATTGACACTGATAAAGATCTAGTGATATTAATAAAGACTTATTGACAATATAGTGATATTAATAAAGATGTATTGTCAATATAGTGATATTAATAAAGATGTATTGTCAATATAGTGATACTAATAAAGATGTATTGACACTGATAAAGATCTAGTGATACTCATAAAGATCCAAGTACATTGACAAAGATTTGTTGACACGGATGGTATCTGGATTTCAGTTGACATGGGGTCGTTTAGAGAGGAGCCCATCCAAGACCCTGTTGGCGAAAAGAACAAAGATTCAGATGTTGTCGAACTAGCAAAACTGCTTACAGCTGACAAACCTGACCATACCTGGGAAGGTAGAATATTATCTAATTTAATTTAATTTTAATTTAATTTAACTTTATTTAATTCTAAATTAATTTAATTTGATTTAATTTTAGTTTAATTTAACTTAATTTAATTTGATTTAATTTAAGGCCGTAGAATATCATAAAACATTTAATCTTACACGAAACAAGAACATGTTATCCTTAACTGCCATTTAAGTTAATATCGTTGAATATGACATTGCATTTTGTTGACTTTCTATCCTTTTGCACGTGCTTTCATCACCTGAAATGGCCTTATATGTAATTGTCGTATACTATTTATATAGAGTAAATAATATGAGTTCGCTTAAATTCTTGTTATGGAGACAACAGATAAAAATATGTATAACTATCAATTTTTGTCTTCTCTGTCAATTATTCGGCAACGCCTTTTGATTTACGAGTCCCTGGCATCATGATAAAATGTTCATATAAAACGAAACGCTAACATATGAAACGAAACGCTAACATATGAAACGAAACGCTAAAGACTACACGAAACAACATGTTCGACATTGTACCATACGGGAACGGCGTGAATCGTTATGATAACATCAGATTTTGCAAAATGACAGCTGGCAACTCACAAGATGAAGATTATGTCAAAGTTCTATGTTCGTCATAATTATCTCTTCGGGAAACACTCCCGTTTCCTTTTGCCTTACAGATAGTCAGATTTTTCTCGGTGCCCGTCTGTTTACCAAGTTCTTTCATTGTTGACGACAATGTTGTTCTCCTTAAGGGAAGAATGACTTCAGTCGCAGATAAACAATCAGAAGACGCTTACTCTCCCGGAACGCCAAGTCGTACTTTCCTTGTATTTTCATTAGTCTACACAGAAAAAGAACTTTATTATTTTCGTGATTCATCGTAGCTGAATCAGTTTTTGTTGTCTTGTCGGCATGTTTAAACACAATATATATATATATATTGTTTATTGTCATTTTAATTACTGTTTTCTAACTACACGTGGTTCCTTACTGGGACTTAATTGACGAACAGTTTTTGTTCTTTTGCACCTGGAATTTGAAATCAATCAAGAATTAAATCGCTGAGGTGCAATGTCTAATTTATTCATTTATAAATCCAATGAATTATTCAACACACATGCTGCTAAATGTAAGACATTGTTTTTATCTAAGTTTCATGTTTTAACTTCAGGAAACGATGGAGGGTATCGTCAACCGAAAGAAGGACGTTTTGGATTGTTCCGTGGTGAAGGTTAGTTTGTAATTCGTTCAATGAATTATAACAATATAGTTTATCCGCTAAATAATTTTGAAAAATACAACAAAAACCCACCCCGATCCCCACCCTTGTCATAGTCCAAAACGCTACAATAAAGCTTTAGAATACTCTAGCTCTAAGTTTTAAAAAGTGTCAGATATGGAGAGAACTTCTATCGTTTGTTTTCATTCCCGTTGGTGCTAACTTAGCAGTTTTTCCACAAGACTTGATATGTTACAATTGTGATAAAATTTCAAGTGACATGTACTGAACTTAGACATAGACTCGTCAGCCATGTTTAATTTTCTGGTCTGGTTTGAACAGGCATTCGATGTCCACTTGGTTAAAGACTTTACTAATGTATGTATTTTTCAAAATGTTCTTTAACTCACAGCACTTAGACTTGTGGAGGACAAGCTTCTTGGAGACGTGGAATTAGCACTTGAAAGTGGCCTGACGTTAGAGGAAATTATGCAAGATTTAGAAAGACAAGGTTAGTTTAAGATCTATCCATCTATTATTATCATCATTATTAACATTGTTATTTTTTTTCAATTATTTTTTTATTTTATCTCTATCTTTTTTTTTTATTTTTGGCTTGAAAACTTAAAACAATATGTATGTTTAAGAAACGAGATAGTTTTGCTGTCAGTAGAACACAACAATGCGAGTTACTGTAAAATAATATATTTCTGTGGGACTGAATTCTCGAGGTTTTCCAAAAGTATACATATGTGCTGGTGTTTGAATCGTGTTTAAATCCTGGTCACTTAATTTTCTGGTATTTTAATTGATGTCGAGTTTAATTCGTTTAGTATTTCGTAAAATGTAAACTCATAAATGCGAAGTACCCACGAATTCGGCGAAAATAAATTCTCCTCCAAAATTGCTTTTAATCGATTATAAGTATCATCTTATATACAAAACAAAATATTATGATGCAGTGTTGAAGAGTTCCGGAAAAGCTGACGTATACGAAATAACATTGTGTATATATATGCTTCTTACAATGTCCTACCTGTATTCATTTTTTTTTCTATTCCAGAAGAAAAATCCCGAACACGAGATCTCCTCTCGAGACTTGCCGAACAAATTCCACGACAATATCGAGACTAACAACATTTGTATATAGCCATTTTCCTCTCCTTTTTTAAACATATGCAGTATTTCGTTTTTTATCGACGCATCGTTAACATCAAAAGAAAATAACTTTCGATCGTTCGTTGTCGTTTGACCAGTCATATATGTAAAACTGACGTTTTTATTTTGTATTGTCTATTGAGTGAAATAGTTGGAAGGTTTTCAAATATGCTCTATTGTTTCAAAATAAACAAATGTAATCAACACTTGTTTTTTGTTATTAATTGTACCTACCTCGTCAAAAAAGGTAATTTATCATCATCGCCAGGCAAACAGGTATTTGTCGTTTTGAAATCCTGTCTATGGTGCGGTGTTTCTGAACGAGATGTCGATGTTTCAGTGAGTACTGGTGTTACGACAAATTAGCTGAGCGATTTACTGTGAAGAAATACATTTCTGTAATTTACAAATTTGGTTTTGATGTTTACGTGGATTAAATCTCGATGATAACCACGGATTAGTTAGTCAACAGACATCCAAAATTTTCAGTTTCTTTCAAATACATACTTGGCAGAATTTTAATAATCTCTCTCGAAAACCTATACCAACCCATTTAGATAGAATATATTCAGCAAAGAACATGAGATCACGCTAACTGTATGTTGTATATATGCAGTAAATTTGTGCAGACATTCATAGTATCTGCTACAGAAAAGAAACAATAGCAAAAACACAAAAACAAACAAACAAACAAAAACAAAACAAAAAAATAAAAAAAATTAATAAGTTAAAAAAACAAAACAAACAAAAAGAAAAAAACAACAAACAAACAAATACCATGAAGACAACATTAACAAAATACTATAGAACTTGGGTAAAATATAAACAAAAGAAACAAAATCTACACATAGACCCCTGAAGAGAACAGGGGGAATAAGACCAGGTGTTCCGGCAGAGAAAGCGTCTTCTGCTTAATCTAAAACACCCGCAATGTAAACCTTAGTCAATCCAAGTGAGTAATGTTATGTTGTCAAATGAGAACAAGGTATACAACAACGGAACCAACAGGCAAACTAACGAACATCAAACACGTCCGGCTTTATATCACACAAAGAAACAGAGATCACCATAGCGATTATAAAACGTCCCCAAAAATGTTCAACAAAATGCATCTTTCGAAATTGGAATATTGAATCAACTGTGACATGTAATTACCATAGGTTGGGGATGCAGAAATGTTATCGGAACATAGAGCATTCACATTGACCTGTTTTGATAAGCCTCGTAGGAAAACAAAAACAAGTCAGCCAACAGAGAGGCACACGTTAATTCTCATATGTATGTCAATAGTCCGTTTTAAGATGTCTCCAAATTCAACGAAATGTTGTCAACCAGAAACTCGATCATTTTTATCATTTCGTACCCCATATGTATTTCTACTTTGATTTGGACGTATCTTCACAAAACACACTTCAGTATAATTCACCAACATATATTTGCACTTATGTTCATTTTTCGTCGAAAAGAACGTTCCCATAACAAGAATGGAACAACAGCTTGCTCGAAAAAAACCACGACGATTTGGAGGCGATGTTTTAAGTTAGAAAAGTATAAAGTAGCCAAGGCTTGATAGACAATTTAATAGTTATTCAAAAATTTTTAGTAATTTTCATTATACAATATAATTTGTGAACAACATTATATACATATAAACATTCTGAACAGTGCAATATTTTGAATGAATAAAAACGCGGCATGCATAGATATCTCGACTAGCTGTTTCTCGAAGATTGTAAAAAAAATACACACAACCGAATAACACTTAATACAGATTTAGGTAAAGAAGGACGAAACAATTAAGTGAATGTATTTTACCGCTGTCTCATCCTTCTAGGGTTATGGTCTATGAATTATGTAAAAACAATTTCTCTTCCTTTTCATGATTATATCACAGTGTAACTGGCATGAGTTTCGCAAATTCACTCACTGTACAGGTAGGAAAATCACTCGAAATGAAATCACTTACAATATCAGTATTATATTACTAGATCTAGCTCTGTCTAAATCAGCTGAAAGTTGTTTGATAATTGCCCATTTGGACGTCTTAATTTAACTAGGGATAGATAAAAAATTTAGAGATAAAATATGTTACGATTGTCAGTGCTTTTTTTTTGCACTGAAATTATAGATCATGTATGAGATATACAGGCATTGCAGATTGATTATAAAAATACATCCTTACATGTATATATATTTTTATAAACTACATAACAATTACATTAATAGTAGAGAAATAAAAATTGCGGCGATAAAAAAATTACCCTTTATTTCTGACATGTGATTGCCATGGTTACCAACTCAAAAAAATGCTAAAAATGCAAAAATACTACTAATTCTAACTGAACACTACAACTTTATAGAAGGAATTTATTTCTAGACACATGTTTTAAGATTAACAACAGTGTTATGGTAATAAACTACTTACATTTAAGCAAATTCCAACACGGAACGCCTTCACAACATGACCACGTGTAAACACTAAGGACATTTCACTTCCTGTAAAGCTAGTTTTTGGTGTGGAGACACAGATGCACACGATTATCCAAATAGTAATCTTCAACACAAAGCTGATAATATCATTCTAAAAACAATGAACGCTTAGTTTATTTGTTCATAAGAATAGCAGTAAGGTTCGAGGTATGCACGTGGAAGCACTAGGTTTTGGAAATTATGGTTTTATTCCTGTGTAGGGTTTATTAATTACTTTATTCCTGTATTTTGTTGTGAATTAAAGTAGCGAGTTGGCAGTCTTGAGTTAATCTGTAGTTATTAACCCGCCAAGAAGGTGATATCTGTTAGTCCGAATAGCTGTTACAACAATAGGTAGATGTGAAGATGTTCCGAAAATGATGTCCGAATATCCGTTACAACAATAGATAAATGTGAAGATGTTCCGAAAATGATGTCCGACAGTCCGTTACAACAATAGGTAGATGTGAAGATGTTCCGAAGATGATGTCCGAATGTCCGATACAACAATAAGTAGATGTGAAGATGTTCCGAAGATGATGTCCGAATATCCGTTACAACAATAGGTAGATGTGAAGATGTTCCGAAGGTGATGTCCGAATATCCGTTACAACAATAGGTAGATGTGAAGATGTTCCGAAGATGATGTCCGAATATCCGTTACAACAATAGGTAGATGTGAAGATGTTCCGAAGGTGATGTCCGAATATCCGTTACAACAATAGGTAGATGTGAAGATGTTCCGAAGATCATGTCCAAATATCCGTTACAACAATAGGTAGATGTGAAGATGTTCCGAAGATCATGTCCGAATATCCGTTACAACAATAGATAGATGTGAAGATGTTCCGAAGGTGATGTCCGAATATCCGTTACAACAATAGGTAGATGTGAAGATGTTCCGAAGATGATGTCCAAATATCCGTTACAATAATAGGTAGATGTGAAGATGTTCCGAAAATGATGTCCGAATATCCGTTACAACAATAGATAGATGTGAAGATGTTCCGAAGACGATATCCGAATGTCCGTTACAACAATAGGTAGATGTGAAGATGTTCCGAAGATGATGTCCGAATGTCCGTTACAACAATAGGTAGATGTGAAGATGTTCCGAAGATGATGTCCGAATGTCCGTTACAACAATAGGTTGATGTGAAGATGTTCCGAAGATCATGTCCGAATATCCGTTACAACAATAGGTAGATGTGAAGTTGTTCCGAAGATGATGTCTGACAGTCCGTTACAACAATAGGTAGATGTGAACTTGTTCCGAAGATGATGTCTGACAGTCCGTTACAACAATAGGTAGATGTGAACTTGTTCCGAAGATGAAGTCCGAATGTCCGTTACAACAACAGGTAGATGTGAACTTGTTCCGAAGATGATGTCCGAATATCCGTTACAACACTCGTTCCCCGTTGCAAAATGTCACGTGTTAACACCTGTAAATTTCTACATTGTTCATTTATTTGTACTTTCTTCTAGTCCTGGTTTAATTAAAATTTCGATTGACATATTGGTATTTTCTGTTGTTTTATACAGTTAAACAAGATAACGAGATTTAACCTGTCATATGCATGTGACTTCAGATTGGTTGGAACCTCCCCAGAACCTGATGAGACAACCCTTAGCGATATAGGGAGAGTTTGGCGTAGGCGACAGGAACCCTGTAACCAACCAACTAACGACATGGTCTGTGTACATGTGACGTGTCTAAAACTAAAACGTTTGAGACACGTCTGTTCGGAGCCATGTGACGTGTCTCACACTGTCGGCGGTGACAGGTCGTTTGAGACACCTCTCTTCGGAGCCATGTGACGTGTCTCACACTGTCGGCGGTGACAGGTCGTTTGAGACACCTCTCTTCGGAGCCATGTGACGTGTCTCACACTGTCGGCGGTGAAAGGTCGTTTGAGACACGTCTCTTCGGAGCCATGTGACGTGTCTCAAACTGACGGTGGTGACAGGTCGTTTGAGACACGTCTGTCCGGAGCCATGTGACGTGTCTCAAACTGACGGCGGTGACAGGTCGTTTGAGACACGTCTCTTCGGAGCCATGTGACGTGTCTCACACTGTCGGCGGTGACTGGTCGTTTGAGACACGTCTCTTCGGAGCCATGTGACGTGTCTAACACTGTCGGCGGTGACAGGTCGTTTGAGACACGTCTGTCCTGAGCCATGTGACGTGTCTCAAACTGACGGCGGTAACAGGTCGTTTGAGACACGTCTGTCCGGAGCCACGTGACGTTTGTAACCGACATGCTTTTCGTAAAACTGTACTTCCTATTCCTCTATGCCAAAGACTAATCTATTATCTAAACGTTTCCATTCGATACCAAAGACTTTATATAACAGGCAACACTTACGACATCACTTGGACAAGCGATCGACACGAGGAACAAACTTATGTAAGTAATGTACTTCAAAAAGAAAGCATTTGCTAGTTAGGAATTGAGGAAACGAAAAAACGGTGCTTACAATGTAGGTTTCATATGCTGACGATGAGCTGTAACGAAGACATGACTAACTTCAACCCA